TGTCCGCCAGGTAACTAGAGCCTTCACTTACTCTTTGGGAATTGAGTAGTACACTACATACTTTTACTACTACTTTAGTAATATATTTGGCAGTGTAACAGTAGTCTTACTTGAGTAAAAGGTTTGGTGATAAAAGCTTTATGTTGACAGTATTCAATTATATGAATATTTGTGTTCCTTGCAGTGTTCAGATATGATGTGTTTTCCTAATTTTTGTATAATAATAATTCTGTATAATAATCCCAGACTGTGTGCATTATTTAATGTTAACTTCAAATTTACATTAACTGTTACGTTCTGACAGTTACTCTTATAATTACTCTAACTTAAATAGTTTTTTTCTCAAATACTTTTTTACTTAATTTATATCTGATACATGCAGGTAGCTTGAGTAGCCAAAAATGTTAAGCTACCTGCATGTATCTGATATAAATTATGATATTCAACAGAGCTATTTTTAGTATCAAGAAGAAATTGATTAACATTTGTCACTTTTTTGCAGTATCGACTGTGCCGGGATCCTGAAACTACGTAATGCCGACATTGAGTTGAAAAAAGGGGAGACAGACATCGGACGTAAAAACACCAGAGTTCGAGTTGTGTTCAGGGTCGCCGTACCTCAGGCAGACGGACAGATACTGTGGCTTCAGACGGCCTCCGGACCCATCGAGTGTTGTAAGAGTTTCACACTCAGAATGTCTGGATTCTAAAATGTAGGGTGTAGAGTTTTTTTCATAACCAGTGATATATGTTTGTTACAACAGCACCACATAGCCATTGACAAATACAAAAAAGGGTAAAAATTTAAACTACCTTTTTCAGGAATGAGTCAGTGGTGCTGTTTCTTTTATTAAAGTGATTTAATAATGTGTGAACCTATTTTTTATTCTGTCACGGTGTATATTATTATTCATTGTTTTATGGTGGACCATAAAACAATATATATAAGGCCAAAGCAAGTTTATAGTTTGTGAATTTTGTTCACTGATAATAGAAATAAAACTTATCTTAAACTTACTGATCATTATTGTGTCCAAAATATAAAATAATGATCGACTACTGTATAAAGTATAACTCAGACAAAAGTTTAATACGTTTAATATTTTATTTCACACACACTCATCCTCATGACAAATATCCCATGATCCAAATAGAATGAGCAGTTTAGCTCTGCTTCGTGCCTTTATTCATGGATATGTTATTGCAGCCCAGCGCTCGGGCCAGGAGCTCCCTCATGTGGACAGCTTCAGTCCGTCCTGTTGCAGTGGAGACGGAGGAGAGGAGATGATCATCACTGGCTCAAACATCTCCACCCAGTCCAAAGTGGTGTTCCTCGAGAAAGGGCCTGGTATGTTGTCTTTGCAGCCCCGGAATGTTACATACTCACTTTAAAACAAAAACAAGACAAGCATTGTAACAGATATGACAATGTTCAAAAGGGAATTAAGTAAATCATTGCTCCAATGCAATATTGTTGCTTAACAATACTAGACACTGCTGGTAATGTTTGATTTACAGGGTCAACATATGCACTATGGATGAAAACAAATTCCTTAATATTAATATCAACATAAGCTTAATATAAAGTGTGTAATGTTTTGTTTTTTATTTAGATGGGAAGACTGTGTGGGAAATGGAAGCCAGAATTCTACCAGACAAAAGTTCTGGGGTGAGTGTTCAGAGCTATATCTTATCCTAATGCCATTTTGGAAATAACAAAATAGTTGGTTTCCTTTGTGTAAACAAGAAGCACTTTAAACAATCTTTGGGTTGAGATCATCTACTCAAATTTAAACATTTGTGACTGGAGCTGAAATCGTGACCTTATCTTGCAATCTTCTCCAAAGCCCCATTACCCTATCAGCTTTAAAGGAAGTATCATTATCACAAAAACATGTTGTGGTTTGTGTGTTTGAGTAAATATGATTAATTCATAATGTAACAAGCTATTGAATGTAGAATGAGGTGCACTCATTTATGCTTATCTTTGGGGTTATGTGAATTCTTTCAGTAAAAATAAGGGAAATTGTATCTGTAACCCTAAATGGATCTGTGAAGAAAGTTTGCACAGTTGGTACACTCTAAAAACTAAATCTCCTTAAATTTTATTTTACAGGCAAGCATCATAGTCCAAGTCCCTCCTTATGTCAGGAAGCTGTCTGGTCCTGTTCAAGTCCAGTTCTATGTTTCAAATGGAAAGAGAAGAAGAAGCCTAACACAGAATTTTACCTTTTTACCCAGCTCTCTTCGCCCGCTCCACACCACCATCACTGCCCCGCCCCCTTTGGTCAAACAGGAAAGGGGCTGGGAAGTGCTGGACCGCATTTCTCACAGTGCATCTGGTTTCTCTGCCCAAGCTCCACCGGACTTGTCTTACTACAGTGGAGAGCTTCCGGTTCACTGCAGTCCACCCCAAAATCCCCCTCCTCGCATCCATCACCCACTGCAACCATCTACTGTCACGCTTCCAACAGCTCTCAATTACCCACAATCCTCTTCAGTGCCTCTTCAGCCACCTTTGATAACTCCTCAGGCCGCTTTAGTATCCCCCCTCGCATACCCGTCCCCGCCCCAGCCTAGCTCACAAGGAGGGACAGGCGTCAGTGTGTCCCCCTCTTTGAGCAGGGCAGCTTTCGTAACATCTGTGGAACCCCAAAAGGAACCTGTGCTCCTTAACGCAGAGCCGGTGCTAAACATCAAACAGGAGCCAGAGGACCAGCCCACCCTGGGATGTCAAGGTCTACAGGAAATCACATTGGATGATGGTAAGTAGATTCAGGGAAAGCATCCTTTGGTCCGATCCATAACCAATTTCATTAACCGAAACTGGTGCATCTGTTATGTTAAGTGTATCAAAAATATTAATACTTATTGTTCCTTTGAAATGTCTTATTCTTATGTTACAAATTACAAGTGTGTACTCAAATAGATGAAACCATAAACTGCAGATATCTGTGTACCAAAAATACAACAGGAAAAATATTTGTTTTTCTGTATCTCATTTTGAAAATTATATTTAAAGGGGCACTAGGTAACTTTTTGGTGGATGATGGGTCCCCTGTGTTACCATTATCACTTTGTCAGGAGTGTTCCACAGTATGACCTAAAACTTAACTATTTTCTATTTATTCGATTACAAGTGTTTTGATTGTTGTGTGCGGAAACCTCTCCACAGATCTGACTTGTAAGTTGACCCTGTGCCATCACCTGCTTGTCTCCAGGGAATTATGCAACTATGAAAATTCTAAGCAAAGCAATTGCAAAGTTACACAGTGTATAGTTTCTGGCATGAATTGTTTCACATTTGAACTTGAAATAAGAATCAAACATTTTTGGATCACGTTTAGCCTGAGTGGTTTGCTGTTTGTGTCTTCCTGTGCAGCTGTGAGCCGTTAGTGTGTCCATGCTTGGCCACCTGACTTATGATATATTTATATGAGGCCTCTCTGTGTGCCAGTGTGAATAGTGCCTGTGTCTCTCATGCCAGATAATATTAGCTACTACAGAGTCTACGGAGGGCTTCGGCTGTTTATCCAAAAAGTTCTTAATATGACTTTGGCTCAGTAACCCCCTTTATACAGCATTTAATTAACAACTTAATTCAATCTGTTCAGTTAAGGAGATACCAGCCTGGGTGCTATGTGGGTCAGCCCTAATTCCAGATAAAAGTAAAGATGTGGTAGGAAGGACATCCGGTGTCAAACCTCATCAGATCAATATGAGGCTGTTGTGGGGACTTTGAAAGAGCACAAAAATGATCTTCAACAGTAATGTTTTTGCAGTGCCTCAACATTTTACATATAGTTTCATGGAAGTCATAAATCCTAATTATTTTTAATATGTATGTACTGTCAAAAGAGAAAAATGTCAAAACTACGACCAGAACATGTAGAAAGTACTATCAAAGCCACTTACAGTGTATACAACAATCCAGTCCCTGTTTAGACCTTGGATCTATTATAAGACCTCATGTCTAATAATATATGAATGGTTTGTACCCGGTTCAGGCCTTATTTTTGAATAATGTGTTAGTTACGTCCTTAACTAAAGCACATTGAATACTCCTTTACCCAACTTGAGGGCCTGGTTCCAGCGTAGATCTCGTGTTTGTGTTTACAGTGGTTCTGCTCTGTTGCTTTAGTTCATTGGTCTCAAGTTTCACAGAGAGCTATGAATAGGGATGCTGCCATTTGTCACACCACAAATAGAACCTTAGTCTGGACTTGTGACATTATCTGTACAGTCTGTCGTAAAATACAGTATGGGCCTGGTTTATCTGCTCATAAAGCTGCTGTGATGGTTGCTTTGACAAACAAATCTGTGCAGGTTTGGAGTTTGAGTGAAATGCAACTGCCCAGTCAGGAGCACACAGGCTCCCTTCAGTGGTTACACCTGGTACAAGCCAAGTCAGATTATTTGTATATCACAATTAAGGATGTACTGATTCATCTTTTCTAGCGCCAAAGCTTAAGATATAAGTATGTGCTGATATCCAATATTAATTGAAAGCAGTGTAGGGACTGAGAATGGCATTTTTTTCCACAAATTATAACAAATTTGATCCAACAGTGTTATGTAATTGTTATTTATCCTGCAACTAACTACAGAAGAGCTTTGTATGGAGTAAAATTCAAACATACATCAGCAAGTAAAAAGTAATTACATCAGATTAAAGGCCCAACCAGGATATCGTCTGAACCGATGTCATGGGACCGATATCCAATCCATCTTAATTTCCTGTACGGATGCTGATGTCTGATAGCAGCCTCTGTAATCACAAAAACAATCACAGCTAACAATAGAGTACATGTCACAGTGAATCCCAAGGCAAATTATACAACAAAAATAAAAAATTTTAAACATAAGAATGTAGCCCATGACTAAATCAAACTAATACAATATATAGTAATATTAATTCGCACCCTGACAGAAACTTGGGCGGCAATCTGCCCCTTCAGTCACTACAGTTAAATACAAAAATGGGTCAGTTAGCAAGTCAGTTGAGTTAAACCCCTTTAATAAATGTAAGGGACCAAAAATTACTTGTTTACATAAATTGTTTAGCCTACCTCAGTGTTTCCTATGCATAGACCAATCAATGAAAACCGAGCATTACAAATTGTACACTGTGGGAAACACTGTACCTTTTTCAAAATAGTCATTTTTCCTCTCTTGTTGCAGTGAATGAGATCATTGATCGGGACATAAGTGGTCTTGGCCTGGATACGTCGCAGTTCGACCCATTCCTGTCCTTAGAATGGGAGAATGGACACCACAAATCCAAAGACGCCTTGCCATTTTGTGGAGCTCCTCAATGAATGAAATGACCTCTATGCGCACATCACAACCAACGTGTTTGTACCAAGTGACCGAAAAGTGCCTCAAATGCATCCATCATCTTAGAAATAACTCAACAGGACTCTAGCATCCAACCACCGAGTCTCTCAGGAATGTAACTATACCTCATTGACCAACCAAAGATTTACCAAAGTGACTGAAATTGACAAAGCTTAGTAACCAAAGGGCTGAAAAACATGTCACCTTACAATAATTTCTAAAGTTGTGTAAAAAAAAATTATTAAACTTATTTATTGGCCTTTTAAATCTATTTTTGATACGCTGAAAGTGGGCAAGTAAATGAAAAAATCTGCAGCTGATATTTTACATTTTAAAGTTTTAGATTGAGCTTCTGTACAGTTTACATTTGCTTTGAAGAAATATTTTAACTGCTGTTCAACCTGTTTTTGGTGTGACACTGAATCGTAGAAAATGTATCAAAGGTTGAATTAAAATAAGACTCAACACTGTGCGCTCTGTTTTTGAGAAGTCATTGATTTTGGGGGAGATCAGAAACTAAAATGGGCACAGATACAAGGAAATATTTTGGTCAGTTCTGGTTAAAGCTGAAGTGTACTTTTAGACTGAGACAGATTGCTAAGGACATGGGACTGTGAACATTTAGGCAGCACAGATTATTTCCACTTGACTGTAGTAGGTTATTTACATAAACTGGTCTCTACTTTTACTTATACTTGTCCCAGTTATCATTCATTTAAAAAGTTGCTGATCTGGATCACTCTGAACAAAGCAGAACTCATCTACAGCCTTATCTGTGTCAGACCTCCAACAGCTACTAAGGCACGTGTACACCAAGACTGTGCCAAACTCCAGCTGCATGTCCAAGCTTTCACCCTGAAGAAGACTAACCAAAGCAGGCATAAGCTGTAGTTCAAATGTCCTGGGACTTCCACAAGTGGAGCACGGCAAAACTAATTGGCACATGTTAGCTGGTGGCTCGGAGATGAAAAGAGGATTACCACCACGACAATATCTCAAAATCTGCTCAGAACAAACTGAAATCCTCTTCATAAACCTTGCAAACACAGCATCGCCATGTAGAATTTTAGTTTTTTCATATTTTTCCTCTCCACTGCCATCTTCACAACAGTCTAGCTCAACAACAGAAATGCCCTCTCTTTTTTCATAGTCCTTAAGCAATTCCTGGGCATGGGTCAAGTCATGGTCTTCCCCATATAGATCGGTCTCCTCCATAACGCTGATAAAGTAGGGGCGAAAGCAAGGTGGGGCATCCTCAGAGGGTCCAAGTTGTAGCTCCTCAAGCTTCTTGCTCATGTCCATATCATCAGTGACTGCTCCTTCTGCTGGAAATACAAACAAAATGTGAAATAACTGAAATTTTTTCTACATAACTGAGTAATGTTATAATGAAGATACAAGTACAACCACCACGCCTATTTCCTAAGTTTCCATAAAATAATTGTTGTCTATTTTGTTTTTCTTTCGAAACTACAAAAAATAGTTTGTTAGAAAAGCTGTTCAGAAATCGACTATACAACAATAACTACTTCCTCCTAGCACATAGTAACTTTAGCACCTTTGATTCCATTATTAGTTTTATTTGGTGATTGCTTCTTCACGTTTGCTCCTGGTTCCTCGCCTTCCTGCCCTTCCATTCCCCAGTCATCGGCAGAGTCACACCAGTCAGTAGCCGAAAGGAACAGCTCCTGAGGCGGCGTGGTGGGTCTGGCAGTGTCTGCTTCCAGACACTGAGAGCGGAGGACTCTCCAGCACTCGGACCGACCACTACAGTCATCTCCGAGACAGGCGAAAACGTGCAGTGTCCGGTGATAAGGCGACCCCTCGAGTGGGCAGTACACCTGGTACAACGTGGACCAGCGCTGATCCGCAGCGACTACAGCGGGGAAAGTGGCGGGACAATAGCGACGGGGCATCGGGCTCTCCACCCACTTTATTAGTCATAAAAGTGGACTGATGTCGCTTTTTGTCGAGCTCTCCATCACAAAATCCCACCAGAACCATCTCTGAACCTGGGGAAGCCATCTCCACACGTGTTTTTGACAGTAACCGGAAGAGATCAACTTCTGCTCGACACCAAAATATGGCCTACGAGAAACACAGGGCAGTAGGAACAAAATAAATGATTTCAGACTTTTAAAAATAAGAGAAGTAGAGCTGGTTAAAAAAGAACTACAAAAGAAAAAATTACCAAAATTTAAAAGCTTACAGCAGCTGGTCTCCCATCCAAGTACTAACCAGGCCCGACCATAGAGTGTATGGGTCCGACCCTGCTTAGTTTCCGAGATCTGACCACGGATCTACTGGATCTGAGGATCTGACGGGCTCGGGCGTGTTCAGGGTGGTATGGCCATAAGCGAATGTGATATAATTTTAATAGCTTCTTATATTTTGGCATTTATAGTAGATTTGGATATTTGGCATAAAGAGTCTGCCTAGATTATGACTATTGGAGGAAATTATGTGTCAAACAATGCGACCTCAAATCGTAAAAATTATGTAGAATATAGTATAAATATATATTTTCCCCGAATAAATACAGTTTTGCCCGTTGATTAATAAACTAATAAATTACAATGAGACAATTGCGCCATCTAGTGCATAAACAACGACGCCTATAGGCTAAGGGCTCGTCACTTCCTTTGTGATTCTTTGTGATGGTGGACTATTTATAACTATGATTAAATCCTACATTGTTATACATTATTAGTCATTATTTTCTAAATTAACTCCACGATTTATGTATGTTATTGATGAATTCTTTTTTTTTTCTAAACGTAACAAATAGGCCATGAAATTGAAGGAGGCTGAAGGGTGATGAGGGGATTTTTTTTCCCCTCCCTCTAAAGTTGCACAAGGTACACACAAATGAACCAATGTTGCATTAAACACGTTATGTAGGTCTATGTATGCTGTTAAAGATACTGTCTTTGAGCATTTTTTTTTTCATACTTACATGTCATTTACCATTATCAGCCAGTATCCGTATTTTCCCTATCCTACAAAAGCCTACATTGTTGCTAGGACTGCTTATTTCAAAGTATCCTATTGCACACAGATGTTTATTTGGGCAGACTGGGCTGTGTGCACCTCTGTATCCTATGGGTGGAGACTAAAGGTTGTCCACAAAAACTGCAGACAACAAAGTCATCTTCATCGGCTGCTGCTTATTCATCTCGGGGTCTTGGATTTTCCGAAAGGCTGTCGAGGTTAATTTGGAGAAAAGTGTGGTAAATTAACTCGATCCGTGCGTGTAGAAGAAGGTAAGCGCCAAAAGCCACGAGAACTTCTGCACAAGCAACGAACTCCACTCTCCAAAAGTTACCCTGTGTACTATCGTAGACTAGCGCCATAAAAACCTAAATGCCTACATGTTTTTGTCGACGTTCGGTGCTTTTATTATTATGATATTTCTGCCGTTTTGATGTAAAAGTGTAGGGTGATGGCAGGTTTGGTATTTTTGGGAGTGACGTGTCTGTTTTGATGTCCCAACTAACTAAAAACTACAAGTGCGCTGTTGTTGCTTATGTTGCTGAGGCAAAATCACACGTAGCCTAGCAGTTAGCACTTTTCCAAACCCGTAATTATATGTTTTCCCTGTGAAATGGTACGTAAATGTCGTCAAACTATTAGACATTGGCGTGTAATTTTAGCGAAAAAGATGAAGGGGTTTATGCTACAGCTTCGTTTTAGCCTAACCTAGCATTTACCTAGCATCACATCACAAAGGCTAAACGTGTAACATTAAGCTAGTTCAAATACTGTGTCCTACCCCTCTCAATTTCCTCTCTTTTTGATTAATTATTGACAACAAATCTGTCCCATGACCACGTAAATGTATAGACAAGATTTAACTTGGATGACATTTAGGTATGAGGAAAAAATGCTGTGTATTGCAATAGTTTTATTCCTTACGTCAACAGATCACAGAGTAGGTCATCTCTGAGTACTTTCTCCTACACATATGGGTCTAGTTTTTAAAATCTATTTAGCATTTTGATCCACACTAATAATTGCTTTTACAATGATCGTATGATATAAGAAAAATGTTTATGCATCAGCAGATTACATAGAAAGTCATCTCTGGGTATCTAAACTGGATCAGCCTAGTATTAAAAGTTCTGTACCATTTTTTAAAATCCAGATTATATTTGCCATTACAGTGACGGCACATTCTATTTACATTAAGATTATACAATTATAACCTACAACACTCATATCCTCTTTACTAATACCTGGTTTGAACAGGTCTGCCTTGTTTTGGAATCAGCAGCACACCCTAAGCAAAGCAAGCTGTAACTCCCACATCCATCAACCTGTTATGCTACTTGTCTTTTTATGTTGTTTTTTTTGTTTGTTTTGAAGACAGGTTATAAATAAAAAGGCCAAATTCATGGATCATAAATAATTTTTTACTCTGAAAATTTTTTGCAATTGCCTTGTGTGTTTTTCCAGAGACATGAGTGAGGCAGAGGAGGTGCCTGAGGACGTGCCTGCATACCTCAAAGATGAACCAGCACCAACAGGTAAAGAGGTCCCCAACTCCTGTGACAGTTGAAAGACTGGGTGTTGTATAGCAATCTATAGAACCAAGCATACATATTTTATGGTTATGGTGGTGTCTTTTTGAGAAAAAAAAAAAAAAAGTTTGAAGATTGTGTTAGTTCCCACATTAGATAAGCATGCTGTGCACTAATCTAATATTGAAACTCCTGATAGCATCGTAGATCGTAAATGTATAGCATCGTAAATGCTAATATAGGAACCTTGTTGCAGTATTTTTTAGATAGTATTTAACCTCAAGTTAACTGAGTTATTCATTGAAGTTTCTGTGCTAAATGTCATGCTAATTACATATTCAGTTTATTTTTTAAATATGACATGGGGATGTCTCATTTGGGATACTTCCTTTACTTTGCTGCCTAAGTGTAGTTTAAAAAAAAAAAAAAAACAATAATAAGAGCATAATTAGATTGAAAGATAAGATAGCAAAAAATAATTGTGACTGAGTGCTTTGCTTCACAGATGGCATGTTCAACTCTGGCTAGTGTGGGGCGTTTCTGTACAAAGTATGTTCTCCCTGTGCCTGTATGTGGTATGTTTAGGTTATTATTTTTCCCCTGTCTACCAAAACATGCTCAATAGGAAAAACCCTCCAACTAAGCTAGTCCTTTTTTGACCAACCCTAGCACAAGATCTGAAAATGGTTCTCTGGATGCTGCACTACAGCAGCTCACTGACAGGTTGCTCTGGAATCATAGAAAGCTGGCTCAAATGCAGGAATCAAAGCATACTTTAACCTCAAATTTAAAAAGTTACTGTTTTTAAGGCCTTCAGTGGTGAGACTTGTCATTTTTTCCTCACACTGTATAAAAAAAAAGTCATGGCTGTATCTGTGGTTTTTATTATAGA